GCGCGGCCTCCCCCCCGGGGGGGGGGGGGGGGGGGGGGGGGTCAGACGGCTCACGCGAGGGTTCTCGGGACCCTGAGCAGCCAGCCAGCCCGCCCCTCCTCCCTGGAGAGCGGCTCCGAGGGCACTAGGCGTGCACCACAGGTCAAGGGGAGACTCCGGCCCCAGGCTGCCTGCCTGACCCAGCAGCTTTGCTCAGCCCTGCCGTGGCGCAACTGGGACTCCTAAGGGCCTCTGACAGGCAGCCGAGGGCACAGCCCAGAGACAGCGCCCCAGAAACACACCCAGCAGACGCAGCCACCCCAGCTGAACCCCGGCCTGGCCACTGTGGCAATTCGCTCCCCTGGGGAGTGGGTAATCTGGGGCCCACGGGAGACGCTGAGAGCTCCGGCCTTGCAGCCTCCCACCCGCCCCAAACAAGTGGGAGCTGTGAAAGCCAAGGCATGGCAGGCAGGGCCAGGCCAGAGGTCACTTCTCTGCAGCTCGCTGTTTAGCGGGATGACAGCTCCATGCTGCTAGAGCCGGCAGGGGGGCAGGGCGCTAGAGCCGGCAGGGGGGCAGGGCGCTAGAGAGCGGGCAGGGCGCTAGAGCCGGCAGGGCGCCGGGACGCTAGAGCCGGCAGGGCGCTAGAGCAGGCAGGGCCTTCCCTCCTCTCCCCGTCCCCCATTTAAAAAACTATTTTCATTCAGTTTCTGAACAAAAAGTTTAACAAACCCAAGTAAAAACCCTTCTGATTTATCAATTTGTCCCAATTTTGACTCTGCTTAGACACGGGGGCTTGTGGGGAACAACGTGGAACTCCAGCACCTGCTGTGCTAGCAGGGACCTGCCAGCTCTTGCCAGCCGTCTAGGGCAGCCTTCAGCACGTCCCTGGCAGCGCCAGAGGGACATGGGAGGGGGACTCGGCAATTCCTAGTGCACCCCCACGGGGCTGCCCAAAGCTCCGAGAGCAGCTGCGTGTCCTGGATCAGGGCACCAGCACCAGGCTCTGGACTGAGCGGGGGTGGAGAGGCAGGGAAAATGGCCCTTCAGGATCCCAGTGAGTTCAGTTCTTGGCATTACTGGGGCACCCCAGCTGTGCACCCGGGCCTGGCCCCGGGCCCCCTGCGAGACTCAGGAGCCCGGCAGCAGAGCCTGGACAGCCGCACTGACCAGGTTGAAGTGCTGCTGCAGCTTCTCGTTGGCGTAGTTGATGCAGAACTGCTCGAAGCTGTTGACTGCGAAGGTCTCGAACCTGGGGGAGGGGAGCGGGGTGACCAGGAGGGCGGGGGAGCCGGCGGCGCCTTTACACCAGGGAGATTAGTGGGGAGGGAGTCCAGCTCTGTCCAGTGCGAGAGCCAAGGGGATCCCCGGGCTGCACCCCTCCCCATTCCATAAGCTCCCGTGACGGCCCAAGTCAGGGTGGGGAACCTCAGCCCCCCCAGCATTGGGAGCCCCCCATGGGGGCTAGAACAATCTACTCGGCTGGGCCCCCCAGGCTCACGGGGAACGTGGGGACTGTTTTAGTTGCGGGCCATGGCAGTGAGTTTGCAGGTTTTGCTTCTCACTGTGTGACCGAGAGTTGACAGCTGGCTGTCCCGAGCCCTTGGGCCTTCCAGAGGATGGCCTGGAGCAGCGATGCGCAGGGAGCACTCCAAGTGGGGGGGGGGGGGGGGGGGGGGGGGGGGGCTGTATTGCACCCCCAGCTGGCTAAGCCCCACGAGCAAAGCTTCAGGCAGCAGCTTATTGCCAGCCACACCCCCTACGCTTGGCCACATGGGAACTCGAGTTCCAGCCTCCACCCCACCCAGCCAGGGGCCTGGGAGCAACACAGAGGGGACCACCCCAGAGTGCTGCTCGGCTGGACAGCGAAGACCTCCAAGCTCAGAAGGCAGCCTCGGGGGACCCAGCTGGGGCATGGAGCAAGCCCGCTGGTCCAGCCCCTGCGAGGAAGGCCGGTCTCCCCGCAGGCCCCCCTACCCGTAGATGTCCAGGATGCCGATGGAGGCGTGTGGCCTGCAGGACGCCCGCAGGGCTTTGTTGATCCTGCTCACGATCCACTTGAAGAGCTGCCCGTAGAGGTGCTTGGCCAGGGCATCGCGGGAGGTCGAGGCCTGCTGCCTGGACAGGGGCTTCACGTAGGTCTCGCTGGCCGTGACGAGCTTGCGGTAGCAGAGCCAGCGCGAGGCCTGGGACTTCTCCACGCCCAGCAGTGTGCAGAACCGGCCCAGGGCCTCGTCCTCCGGCTGCGCACAGACCCCACCCGTCAGTGGTGTCGCAGGGAGAGCCCCGGGGAGCCTCAGCACAGCACCCTGCTCCGAGCCGGCAGCCTAAGGCCCCTGCAGCTCAGACACCTGCCCCCCACCTCCAGCCTGGCGCAGGGCAAGGCCACCCCTCTGCAGCCGTCACCTGCTCCCTGCACCCCGGGGGTAGCAGAGGGCCAGCCGGCCTTTACCTCAAGAAAGCAGCTCTCCCCGTGCCGGTCCTTCGCCTTGAGCCGGATGTTGCCCAGGTGCAGGATAGCGGCCAGGATGCTGAACAGTTCCAGCTGGTTTGACTCGTGGACCCCTGCCGGGCACACAGCGCTCGGTACCCTGCAAGGCCAGGGGGCACTAGCAGCTCCCCCCCCCACCAAGGGGCCGCTCCCAGCCCCTCGACAGCTGTGACCTGGGGGAGCTGCACAGGCCCGGACGCCCCCTACCCCCTCCCAGGCAGTCACAGCTTGGGGTGCTGGCTCCCCAGCCCCCCGACAGCTCTTTTCCCAGCATGCCACAGAGCATGGGCGAGACCGGGGCGGGTCTACACTAGCTGCCTTACGGCCACCTGACTAAAGTTGACCTAATTAACGCTGTTACGGCCAATGGGAGCTGAGGGGGCGGAGTCTGCAGGCAAGGGCAGCAGCAGGACAGAGCTTCCTTGCGCCGGGTGGTGCAGGGAGGGGAGAAGGCAGCATGTGGCACCACCTCCCCCCATCCCTGTGCTGGGCAGGAGCTGTGTGTCCTGGACTGCAGCCCCTAAAGGCCCTTTCTTAATCCAGCGCCAGGCTAGGGACACCATCTGGGCTAGTAGCCATTGATGGGCCTACCCTCCAGGAACTTATCTAGCTCCGAGAGCCCTAGGATACTCTTGGCCTTCACATCCTCTGGCAGGGAGTTCCACAGGTTGACTGTGCCTTGTGAGGAAATACTTCCTTCTGAGTAGGTTTGAAACCAACTGTGACGTAGTGGGGGTACTTGCTGGGCTGTGGTGACCCCTGCTGGGTCTTGCTCCAGACAGCAGAGGTCACCACAGCCCAGCAAGTACCCCCACTACGTCACACCAACCCAAGGCTTTTGGCTGTCTTGCCGGTTTCATGGTCCCAGCCCAGCCATCCCCTGCAGGGCTGGACCCCGCTGTCAGCTGGGAGCCAGGGCCAGAAGCCCCAGCAGCCCTCACTCTGAAACTGGCTGCCAGCAGGGCTGAAGGTGACAAGACTGCAGGGGCAGGGGCGTGGAGCCTGCGAGGACTCAGAACCATGGAAGGGTCAGGCCGTAACCGCTAGCTAGGGGCTCCTTGTGCCTTCCTCACTGATGGAGCCTGGCCTGATACGTTACACGCTCCTGGGGTCGAGGATGCGAGGCAAAGGAGCCAGCTTCAGCCCCGAGCAGCAGAGCCAGCTCCCCCCACTCCCAACAGGCAGGGAAGCTACCCAATAGCGAGAAGGCGTTTCGTGTGCTCTCCAAGTCAGCAGCATCATCAGTGGCCTCGAGGAGCGCGCACCGCCCCTGCTTGATGTAGTGGAAGGATTCGGCCTCACCTGCCGGGTTAGAGACACACGATACTGAGTCCAGCTTCTAGCCAGCTCCCGCCCCTGTGACCGGGCCAGATCAGCTGCATGCGAGCCCCCCCGCCTCCCAGCTTCTGGGGCAGCCCAGGCCCTGCTCAGCCCCTCCCTGGAGGGACATCGCCAGTTACTGGCGGTGGAAGCTGCACACTAAACAGCCACATGCTTTGCACCTGGCAAGAACTAAACCTCTTGGGCCCAGCTTCTCCCGTGAGCTGGGCTCCCAGTATTCGCCATCTGGAACATAGAAGTTCCTTGCAAGAGCACAAAGAGGCTGTCGCTTCCCACCACCCTGATCCCGTCAGACCAGGATTGTCGGTAGGTGAAAGGAACCCCGGCTCCCACAGCTCCAGCACCCCCAGCCCTGGTGGGCTGGCCCAGCCCTGCAGACCCTTGGAATCCTGGCCCCCGCCCCGCAGCAGCTACCAGGCAGCCTGCCAAGCAGCCAGATGGAGCAGCTGTCAGGAGGCCAGGCAGGACTAAGACTGGGACAGTCACAAGTGACCCTACTCCACAGGATGCCTGGAGTCTGACGAACAGGCAGGGTCCCTGGAAGAGCTTTGCAGCAGGCACGCCCCAGGCACGGCAGGCAGCCCTAGCCTGTCCAGGTGCCTGCCATGGGGCTGGTGGGACAGCACCATTGTTCTCATGCAGGACGGGGAGCCCCATAGCAAGGGGACCGATCCTTTAGCACCAGCCACCGTGTTAACCTCACCTACCTCTAGCTTCTCCCAGCCAGCGCCCCAGCCTGAGACATTCCGGGTAGACCCCACACCAACCTCCCACTCCCAGCCCCCAACTGTGGAGGCCAGTGCCCCACAGACAGTGGTGAATGTCCCCCCCTAACGAATACTGCCCCAGACTGCAGCTGGGGAAGCAGCAGCTGAAGGAGATGGGCACTGCAGGGCAGTCCCGTATCCAGACAGACACCCTGGGACAGCCACTGCACTGTCCAGAGAGCTGCTGCTGGGACAGTGCATGGGGCCAGCTGGCCAGGGGGATGCTGCTCACCGAGCCTCAAGGCGTGGAACTCCGGCAGCGCGGCCGAGGCGCACAGCTGGTAGAAGATGTGGTAGTTCCTCTCGGCTTTCGCCTGCCCAGAAACAAGAGGAACAGTTGAGGCTGGTCCGAATTTTCCTGGACCCCCCCACCCCTTGCTGCCTCATCTCTCCAGCTAGAGGACCGTGCAGGCCACATCAGATACATGGTAATGTGGGACAGGTGACACTCCTGCTAGGATGGTACCAGGCCAGCCACTGTTAGGAGGGCGGCAGCCTACTATTGCTGCCAGCTAAAGGGGTCTCTCCTTAAGCTCAAGAGGATGAGCCTCCTGTATCAAAAGCTCTGGGTTCAGACCCCCGCCCGCCCAAGCAGGGGTCAGAGCCGTGGTCTAGATATTCACTGGGGCACCTCCAAATGGGTTGTGGGTCTCTTGCCTCGCAAGGGAGAAGGGACTGTACACCCCCCCCCCCCCCCCCCCCGCCCGCGCCGGGGTG